TTTAATAAACTTTTTTATTTGAATTCTATTGATTGTTAAAATTAAAACAATAAAATTTAAATATGGCCAGTTAGATGCCTAATTAAGCTTCGAAAAAATCTTATATTTAAGACGTCTAAATTTTTGCAAAAATTGGGTCTAGAATATCTCGACACCAATATAATCAAATTTAATAAACTTTCTTTTATTCAAATTTTACGATTAAAAAACAAAAAAAAGTTCATCGAATTTGGCTGGGTAGACATCGAGATATCTTTGATTAAAACTTAAAAAATTAAAATGACCTACATTAACATATATAGAAATACAATCAGACCTCTCTAAGTGCACCTTCTATAAGAGCACACCCTCTCTAACTGCACGCTCAAATTCTGGCCCAAATATTTATTTGATCTTTATAAATGCACTTCTTATTATTCTCTAAATGCACATTATTAAAGTGTCGTCCCAAGGGTGTGCACTTAGAGAGGCCTGACTGTACATTATTTTTTTTTAAACAAATACTTTTTTCAATTTATTAAATAAGTTTATTTTATTCATATATTTAATTAATGGTACATAGTTACAATTATCAGGATTAATAGAAATCAAGGGCTTAATAAGTTTAGGCAGATTTAAAAGATCTATCAATGAATAAGAATTTAACAATTATAATTTAAGTCACCACATTAGTAGCATTTCCGTTGCATATTCTTGAGATCAAAAATGTGAGCGTATATATTTCGGCCTTAGATGACACTTTGATTCTTACTGGCACGCTTTTAGCTGTTGAAGTTGAATACGATGTCATAGTAGTTGACGATGTAGGAGCAGCCGAAACATGAATCTAAATAAATAATTGTTAAATACAATACAATAGTAATAATGATAATGCATAAAATACCCCATATGACCTACCGTCGTATAACCTTTCACATCATCCAAACTTTCTACGTCCCGCTTTTGATTTAACATATTGTGAACTTCAGCCAACTTTTCTGTAGCATCCTTTACATTTCCAGTATGCATATTAAATGCTACATATAACAACAAATAATGTAAATGGAGACGATGGTTTGATATAGGAAAAATGTGATAGGTTTGTGGAGGACGAGATGATGGTGGTGGGAAATATAAAGTTGAAAGTTCAGCAAGCGAATGCTGGGCTATTGAATAGTTTTGATTCGTAAAAGCGTATTGAACAATCGAAATTAAAAGGCATGCCTAAAAATAGATTGAAATTGTAATGTACTGATTTTTTGCGTAATATATAAACAATTTGCAATTACTCCTACCATAATCTGATTATACCTTCATTTCAATATCGCCTCTTTGGTCAGCCATTGATTCTGCTTGTTTCAAGGTTGACAAACATCCATTGAAATCACCTTCAGCGTTATAAAGTTCTGCATGCCGTAACAGAAAGTGATATGTCCAATCAGGCATATTGCATCTAGAATGTAAAAAAGTAAACATTTTTAAAAAAAGCAAAAATATAATAATTAAAAATTCTAAAATTTTAGAAACATGTGAACCATAACTATGAGCAGAAATTCACCCACTCCATTGCTTCCATAACACCAGATTTCATGATATTACGTGCCACTTTAACATTATTAGCACTTTTGAAAATATTACATTGAAGGTCAATCATCCTAAATTTCAGTTCAGCTACAGTGTCCAGCTATTAAAAAAAAAAAAGAAAAAAGAAAATATGATCAGTAACGGCATAAACAGAAAATTGGATTTTTAATATAGTAAAATAATTCAATTTATAAGTCCAATCAATTCAATTGCCCAATACTAACACAAAAGTATTATGAATCTAAAAAATTCACCACAAAAAACTACATTCAATAATTACCTTCTGTGATATCATTATCTGAAATAGTATATAACGGGGAAAAAATATAAGCAAGAAAATAACGTCATTCTAGATTTAATAATAAAGAAATCATACATACAGCTTTCTGCAAATGACTTTCTGCTTCTCGAACGTTTTCGGTAAACCAGAAAAGAATTTGACTCAACCTGAACCGCGTCTTTAGCTCAACTAAAGGCATATATGTGCTCCCATTAGCAACGCTTATAATCACCGCCTCCAGGCACTTGATCGCAGCTAAAATATGTTTCTGTTGCTCCGAAGATAACTTTTGATGATTAACTGAGGACGTGGAAGATAATTCAGTGGCTTTTGCTTTAGATAGATAACGTTCCGCAAAATACCATAAAAGTTTGTGTGGTAATAGCTGCGATTCTTGTTGTTGTGGATATTGTGATATCAATTGTTGCTCCTGCAAATCTTGTCGCTCACGCGTTTGAGGAAGAATTTGAGTGGGAAACATGGTCACTTCACTTGGGATTTGTTGTTGAGGCATTTGTAGTTGATGTAATGGCTGTCGTAAAATCTGATGAGGGGTTATGTAGTCATATGAAGTCTGTTGCATATTGGCGGTTATTGAATTATTTGGGAATGCGTAAGAAACGTCAGTGTAAGTTGTATGTCCGTCATAAGGTGTCTGTGTATAATCCATATACTCATAATTAGTTTGGGACTCAGAAAGGTATTGAGGTTGTTGGTATGAATGCTGTTGTTGATGAAAGGATTGTTGCTGCTGTTGATAATACTGAGTTGGCTGTTGCTGTTGATAGCTCCATTGCTGCTGGGTAGACCATTGTTCATATTGAGCAGGAAAACGAGACATTCTAATTTGTAATAGAACTGAATTATGCCAAGATGAAAGCGAAGGTTTCTAGAAGACTTAAATGTATGCATATGACTAATTCGGTAGGAAAACTATTCATGGAGTCACGTTACTAAATGACTAAGCATGACACGTGAAATATCTTAAAAGGTTATAATGACTTTGATCCTTTATTGCAAAATTAGAAATATGGTATAATGATCATAAAAGGTTTCAAGACTATTCTTTTACTGATTTTTTAATTATTTAATGCTCATTTGGGAGAAATGGATTGCGATGTGCGCCGACGTTTAGGTGAAGAAACTTTGGTCGAATTTTCAGATTGTAAAATTTCCACTATTGTAATTCGCTTCCGACGTTTTGCCTTGTGATGAGCATATATGTACATACATAAATTAGCAAACAAATAATAGTGCATACCTCTTTCAACAATAGAAAAAATATATTACCAAATTTGTTGATTTATAAGAACTGTCATTCCTTGGCGCATTTTGAATTAAAATCTGCACGCTCGGTACAATTGCAGTAGTTCTCCCACCAACAGTATCAAACAGAATCTTTTCTCCATCTGGCATAAATGCGCCTGCCTTTTTTCCTTTACCCCATCTATAATGAAATAACCAAGAAGAGGGAAACAAACTAGAATCTGCGTTAGCCTCTGCAGCCGTTTGACAAACATATATCAAATTCTCGTACAATGCAGTAATCTGTTCATCGCTTAAAGTATTTGCATATTGTGCCGGGTGTATACGCGATTGATAAAGTGTTTCGTCTGCTATCCAATTTCCAACACCAGCTGAAAATGATTGATCTAATAATAGTGCCTTGATAGGGCAACGGCGTCTCAAAATTTTTTCCTTAAAGGTTTGTCTCTCTGGCATGCCTTGTAAAGGATCAAATCCAAGTTTTAAGATTGGAAGATCTTGTAAAGGTGAATTGACAAGACGTATTCTCGCCAATCTTCGCATGTCTGTGAATGCCATTACTATGTTTTGCGAAGATGAATTTGACAATTCCATAAGAGTAATGGTGAATTTCCAGAAGCGAGGTGGCCAAACTTTTGGATCATCCTTAGATGGTTTACGATATTGAAATATCTCTTGATCTTTAAACTTTGTATGCGTAAAAATTAGAAAAGAAATCATTAATGACGCGTTTTTATAAATCGTAAAAAATACATGACTAACAAAAATATGTACACGAATATCCCCGGTCATTCCAAAATGCATAACAACGTGCGGGCCTTCATTAAGTACTATAAAACAACCAAGTATTGTGATAGATAATCAAATGATTTATATGCTACATATAATCACGCGAAACCTGAAAAAAGTCTTACGAAAATAAAAATATTTCCCCCATCGTCCCGTGTCTACAACAACTTTATTCAGTAGTACTTTTTCAAATTCTTTGCTTGTTATATTGCAAAAGACAAGGTTGTCTTCTTGCTGTTAAGAACAAAATAAATATATTTATCTTACATATCTGATATGGTAATCAAAAAGTATGTCAGACAATAACATACTAAACATACCGACTCAACATGAACGATTTTTTTTCCAACTAATTTAGCATTACACGCTCTTTCGGCGCGATGAACTTCGGGAAGTTCAGGCATTGTAGACATAAGGCGAATTTTGAATTCGTGATTTACAATTTAATATATTTATATCACATGAGCAGATCAAATTTTTAATCACGTGATAAAAACTTATCGATTTTATAATTAATTGAATATAACAATCCATTACATACTAATAGAGTTAATTATTTTCCAGAAATAATAATTTGTGAAGTTGTTCTAAAGGCCATTGATTATATTGTAGTTTCAATAATATGTACTTTTTTTGATATGACAGAAATATAGAAGAGAATACAAAATAATCCTCACTAGTAACTTTCAACAATCAACATAAAATTAAAAAAACAGTGACAAAAATATTTTATTGTTTTTGTTTTTTTCTTTTTTTTTTTTTTTAAATCTACAAACAATGAAATTGACATTCATTAGTATTTATCAACATTTAAAATTATTAAGTAAACTTTAATTACCTCGTCAATGTCGAATTCGAAATTGCATTCTTCATCTTCTGGACCAAACGTATCAGTTTCGTTGATTTTAGCTATAGATAAGGGGCAATCAGAGAATCCAATAAGTATAATGAAATTACATTACTAAGTAAACCCGTATTAATATTATTAATATTATTAACGTTACCATTTTCTGGTAATTCACCATAAGCTTTCAAATTACTTTTTTCTCATGTATTTTTTTTTTTTTACTTTCAATTTATAGAATATGCACAAGTAGTAAAAATGCTTGGAAACGGTCGCTTAGAAGCTCAATGCTTTGACGGTGAGAAAAGGTTGGCACATATTCGTGGTAAACTACGGAAAAAGGTGAATAGCTATGCTTTATAATCTTTGTATTATTACCTGAAATCGATGCATGTTTACAATTTATTTGATTTTTAAAGGTGTGGATCAATCAAGGTGATATCATCTTGATTTCTCTCCGCGATTATCAAGATGCCAAAGCCGATGTTATTCTAAAATATACAACCGAAGAAGCAAGAAATTTGAAAGCTTATGGTGAATTACCAGAAAATGGTAACGTTAATAATATTAATAATATTAATACGGGTTTACTTAGTAATGTAATTTCATTATACTTATTGGATTCTCTGATTGCCCCTTATCTATAGCTAAAATCAACGAAACTGATACGTTTGGTCCAGAAGATGAAGAATGCAATTTCGAATTCGACATTGACGAGGTAATTAAAGTTTACTTAATAATTTTAAATGTTGATAAATACTAATGAATGTCAATTTCATTGTTTGTAGATTTAAAAAAAAAAAAAAAGAAAAAAACAAAAACAATAAAATATTTTTGTCACTGTTTTTTTAATTTTATGTTGATTGTTGAAAGTTACTAGTGAGGATTATTTTGTATTCTCTTCTATATTTCTGTCATATCAAAAAAAGTACATATTATTGAAACTACAATATAATCAATGGCCTTTAGAACAACTTCACAAATTATTATTTCTGGAAAATAATTAACTCTATTAGTATGTAATGGATTGTTATATTCAATTAATTATAAAATCGATAAGTTTTTATCACGTGATTAAAAATTTGATCTGCTCATGTGATATAAATATATTAAATTGTAAATCACGAATTCAAAATTCGCCTTATGTCTACAATGCCTGAACTTCCCGAAGTTCATCGCGCCGAAAGAGCGTGTAATGCTAAATTAGTTGGAAAAAAAATCGTTCATGTTGAGTCGGTATGTTTAGTATGTTATTGTCTGACATACTTTTTGATTACCATATCAGATATGTAAGATAAATATATTTATTTTGTTCTTAACAGCAAGAAGACAACCTTGTCTTTTGCAATATAACAAGCAAAGAATTTGAAAAAGTACTACTGAATAAAGTTGTTGTAGACACGGGACGATGGGGGAAATATTTTTATTTTCGTAAGACTTTTTTCAGGTTTCGCGTGATTATATGTAGCATATAAATCATTTGATTATCTATCACAATACTTGGTTGTTTTATAGTACTTAATGAAGGCCCGCACGTTGTTATGCATTTTGGAATGACCGGGGATATTCGTGTACATATTTTTGTTAGTCATGTATTTTTTACGATTTATAAAAACGCGTCATTAATGATTTCTTTTCTAATTTTTACGCATACAAAGTTTAAAGATCAAGAGATATTTCAATATCGTAAACCATCTAAGGATGATCCAAAAGTTTGGCCACCTCGCTTCTGGAAATTCACCATTACTCTTATGGAATTGTCAAATTCATCTTCGCAAAACATAGTAATGGCATTCACAGACATGCGAAGATTGGCGAGAATACGTCTTGTCAATTCACCTTTACAAGATCTTCCAATCTTAAAACTTGGATTTGATCCTTTACAAGGCATGCCAGAGAGACAAACCTTTAAGGAAAAAATTTTGAGACGCCGTTGCCCTATCAAGGCACTATTATTAGATCAATCATTTTCAGCTGGTGTTGGAAATTGGATAGCAGACGAAACACTTTATCAATCGCGTATACACCCGGCACAATATGCAAATACTTTAAGCGATGAACAGATTACTGCATTGTACGAGAATTTGATATATGTTTGTCAAACGGCTGCAGAGGCTAACGCAGATTCTAGTTTGTTTCCCTCTTCTTGGTTATTTCATTATAGATGGGGTAAAGGAAAAAAGGCAGGCGCATTTATGCCAGATGGAGAAAAGATTCTGTTTGATACTGTTGGTGGGAGAACTACTGCAATTGTACCGAGCGTGCAGATTTTAATTCAAAATGCGCCAAGGAATGACAGTTCTTATAAATCAACAAATTTGGTAATATATTTTTTCTATTGTTGAAAGAGGTATGCACTATTATTTGTTTGCTAATTTATGTATGTACATATATGCTCATCACAAGGCAAAACGTCGGAAGCGAATTACAATAGTGGAAATTTTACAATCTGAAAATTCGACCAAAGTTTCTTCACCTAAACGTCGGCGCACATCGCAATCCATTTCTCCCAAATGAGCATTAAATAATTAAAAAATCAGTAAAAGAATAGTCTTGAAACCTTTTATGATCATTATACCATATTTCTAATTTTGCAATAAAGGATCAAAGTCATTATAACCTTTTAAGATATTTCACGTGTCATGCTTAGTCATTTAGTAACGTGACTCCATGAATAGTTTTCCTACCGAATTAGTCATATGCATACATTTAAGTCTTCTAGAAACCTTCGCTTTCATCTTGGCATAATTCAGTTCTATTACAAATTAGAATGTCTCGTTTTCCTGCTCAATATGAACAATGGTCTACCCAGCAGCAATGGAGCTATCAACAGCAACAGCCAACTCAGTATTATCAACAGCAGCAACAATCCTTTCATCAACAACAGCATTCATACCAACAACCTCAATACCTTTCTGAGTCCCAAACTAATTATGAGTATATGGATTATACACAGACACCTTATGACGGACATACAACTTACACTGACGTTTCTTACGCATTCCCAAATAATTCAATAACCGCCAATATGCAACAGACTTCATATGACTACATAACCCCTCATCAGATTTTACGACAGCCATTACATCAACTACAAATGCCTCAACAACAAATCCCAAGTGAAGTGACCATGTTTCCCACTCAAATTCTTCCTCAAACGCGTGAGCGACAAGATTTGCAGGAGCAACAATTGATATCACAATATCCACAACAACAAGAATCGCAGCTATTACCACACAAACTTTTATGGTATTTTGCGGAACGTTATCTATCTAAAGCAAAAGCCACTGAATTATCTTCCACGTCCTCAGTTAATCATCAAAAGTTATCTTCGGAGCAACAGAAACATATTTTAGCTGCGATCAAGTGCCTGGAGGCGGTGATTATAAGCGTTGCTAATGGGAGCACATATATGCCTTTAGTTGAGCTAAAGACGCGGTTCAGGTTGAGTCAAATTCTTTTCTGGTTTACCGAAAACGTTCGAGAAGCAGAAAGTCATTTGCAGAAAGCTGTATGTATGATTTCTTTATTATTAAATCTAGAATGACGTTATTTTCTTGCTTATATTTTTTCCCCGTTATATACTATTTCAGATAATGATATCACAGAAGGTAATTATTGAATGTAGTTTTTTGTGGTGAATTTTTTAGATTCATAATACTTTTGTGTTAGTATTGGGCAATTGAATTGATTGGACTTATAAATTGAATTATTTTACTATATTAAAAATCCAATTTTCTGTTTATGCCGTTACTGATCATATTTTCTTTTTTCTTTTTTTTTTTTAATAGCTGGACACTGTAGCTGAACTGAAATTTAGGATGATTGACCTTCAATGTAATATTTTCAAAAGTGCTAATAATGTTAAAGTGGCACGTAATATCATGAAATCTGGTGTTATGGAAGCAATGGAGTGGGTGAATTTCTGCTCATAGTTATGGTTCACATGTTTCTAAAATTTTAGAATTTTTAATTATTATATTTTTGCTTTTTTTAAAAATGTTTACTTTTTTACATTCTAGATGCAATATGCCTGATTGGACATATCACTTTCTGTTACGGCATGCAGAACTTTATAACGCTGAAGGTGATTTCAATGGATGTTTGTCAACCTTGAAACAAGCAGAATCAATGGCTGACCAAAGAGGCGATATTGAAATGAAGGTATAATCAGATTATGGTAGGAGTAATTGCAAATTGTTTATATATTACGCAAAAAATCAGTACATTACAATTTCAATCTATTTTTAGGCATGCCTTTTAATTTCGATTGTTCAATACGCTTTTACGAATCAAAACTATTCAATAGCCCAGCATTCGCTTGCTGAACTTTCAACTTTATATTTCCCACCACCATCATCTCGTCCTCCACAAACCTATCACATTTTTCCTATATCAAACCATCGTCTCCATTTACATTATTTGTTGTTATATGTAGCATTTAATATGCATACTGGAAATGTAAAGGATGCTACAGAAAAGTTGGCTGAAGTTCACAATATGTTAAATCAAAAGCGGGACGTAGAAAGTTTGGATGATGTGAAAGGTTATACGACGGTAGGTCATATGGGGTATTTTATGCATTATCATTATTACTATTGTATTGTATTTAACAATTATTTATTTAGATTCATGTTTCGGCTGCTCCTACATCGTCAACTACTATGACATCGTATTCAACTTCAACAGCTAAAAGCGTGCCAGTAAGAATCAAAGTGTCATCTAAGGCCGAAATATATACGCTCACATTTTTGATCTCAAGAATATGCAACGGAAATGCTACTAATGTGGTGACTTAAATTATAATTGTTAAATTCTTATTCATTGATAGATCTTTTAAATCTGCCTAAACTTATTAAGCCCTTGATTTCTATTAATCCTGATAATTGTAACTATGTACCATTAATTAAATATATGAATAAAATAAACTTATTTAATAAATTGAAAAAAGTATTTGTTTAAAAAAAAATAATGTACAGTCAGGCCTCTCTAAGTGCACACCCTTGGGACGACACTTTAATAATGTGCATTTAGAGAATAATAAGAAGTGCATTTATAAAGATCAAATAAATATTTGGGCCAGAATTTGAGCGTGCAGTTAGAGAGGGTGTGCTCTTATAGAAGGTGCACTTAGAGAGGTCTGATTGTATTTCTATATATGTTAATGTAGGTCATTTTAATTTTTTAAGTTTTAATCAAAGATATCTCGATGTCTACCCAGCCAAATTCGATGAACTTTTTTTTGTTTTTTAATCGTAAAATTTGAATAAAAGAAAGTTTATTAAATTTGATTATATTGGTGTCGAGATATTCTAGACCCAATTTTTGCAAAAATTTAGACGTCTTAAATATAAGATTTTTTCGAAGCTTAATTAGGCATCTAACTGGCCATATTTAAATTTTATTGTTTTAATTTTAACAATCAATAGAATTCAAATAAAAAAGTTTATTAAATTATCAAAATAATATCTTTATCAAAATTTTATAAAATTTAAATATTAAATAAAAATTATTAAACCACATTTGATTAAAAATATCACTTAAATTTATTTGATAAAATTTAATAAAAATTTAACCTTTTTGGGTTTAATTTTTATTGATTTTATAAATTATAAATGTTTTTAGAAGTTTTTAGTAGCATTACTGGATCAAATATAGTATAGTTTGCCCCTTAAGGGTAGGGTGAAATGATCTACATTTCAATAGTGATCACGTTACTAAAATTTTTTACAATAACATTTAATTA